GGTGTTTTTTTTTTTTTTTTTTTACAACGAGATCTCCAAGTATAAAAAAACCCCCCTACTGTGCAGCAAATCAGCAGCACGTGCGCCGCATGCAGTTTGCGGCAACTCAAACTGCTTTGACGTGCCACAAACCACACACGTGCACTCATAGAGATGCCCCCACAGAGTCAGACCACAAGTCACGGAAACTGTTAGCCACTACAGCAATTTAGAACAGACTGGTCACTAGCTACATTGAGGCTTAGATTGCCCCTTAATTTAATCCAAAATCAGAGGGGGAGAAGGTTAGCTGAAAGTAACCTATGTTTCTACTTTGCACTTCAGATATGCAGACAGAAATTTTCCAGGAATTGGCTAACTTTTCAGACTGTAATACTGATGTAAAAGACAGTTCAGTTTACAAAATGAATTAGAAATGTCACTTCACTTCTCAATAGACTTAATATTTAACATTACCTCATTTCCTTTTTTAATGATCCTTTTATATAATGATTTTCACAACTTTCTTTCTGTCTCCTTGTTTATACTTCCCAACTATCTAGATGTTGATACATAATTATTTAACATTTGATTATGTTTCAGTATTAATGTTCTTTTAACATACAGCTAAGAAATATAAACGAATAAATGAATAAATAAATAAATAAATAAAAGAGAGACTATTTTTCCAGTACATACGGGTCTTCCGAGCCGAATCTTCTACAAAAAGAGAAGAAATGTCTTCATCCACTCCTGCTTCATTCTTTGCAATACAAGTATATGCTCCCGTATCTTCATAGCGCACATTGCTAATGTGAACTTCACTGCCGTTTGCTGAAAGCAAAGGGAGAACACAACACGTGAACAACAATTTTAGTTTTACTACAGGGCTTTCAGGCTTATCCTAATTAAACTGCTTTCCTTCCTCAGTTCATATATTGGACACCCGCCAGACTACTGCAAACGTATTCAGTTGGTTAGTAAACTCTACTCTCATTCATTTAACAGAAAACAGGAATATCTCAACCATTTTGGATGCTTGGCTCCAGATGTCAGTCTCAGATTTTGTACCTGTTTCAGTGACAACATAGATCTGAAAAAACTGGTGTGCCCTCTTCTGTAGACTTGAGCTGTTCTGCTTTATTAATGCTGTATCTGATCATTTGCAATGCCAGCACCTTGCATTGCTGATTTAACAGAAAATGCCATGGAGTTCACAAAACATAATGGGAGAAATTTTCAGTACAATACATTCTGCAAGAGATGTATAGCTTCCAGAATATGGGATGCAACTTTAAATGAGCTTCTTTATTATTCTGTATAATTGAGTTAGAAAAAAAAGATGGCCTAGTTTACTTGCTTCCATCTCACAGTCCTTGCATGTACTTCTCAATTTAGTCAATTGTAGCACTGTACATTTTGGTGATGGGACTCATACATACAAAATGTATTTGGACAAATGAGAATTTATTAATGTATCCTTGCAGCTGTTAAACTCTAACAAACACCTGGGAGCCTGTATTTCTTTGTAAAGTTCATTGCAGAAGTAATGGGCATGATTTTGATTTTGTATACAATGAAACCAGGATGAAACTCCTTGGAAATATCAGAAAATCTACTTTTCAGATAGTGTCATCAAATATGCAGTATCGGTTTAATACGTTTCCCTGCCAAAAATCTTCCTTTATTTTTATTTCTTCCCAGAAACCCTAGAGAGTCATTTTCATCTGAGATGAGTGCAGACTAGCAGCCAAAAAGCTTATAAAATAAGACTACACTTTTTCATGTACAGATGTGTATCCTTAAGTTTGTGCATAAGTTTGCATATGAAAAAAAACTAATATTTGCTCACACAAATTGGAGATTGTACATTGACTTTGGAAGACAGAGGTAACATTATCTGATTTTACAGACATATACCTTAATTTAATATGTAGCAATGCTGTAAATGCAAAATATTCCTGCTTAACTTTGTAGTGCTTAATAAAAACTGTCCTTTACACATGTACTGCAGAATATGGATGAAGCAGAACCTAGAGGTTTCCTGTGAAACTTGTTACAGAACACCTTTTCTCTGGGTTCAGACTTTATATAGTTTTTTTCTTTGCCATGTTAATGGGTAGAGGATGGGAACATCACTGGAGAAAACATATATTGCACTTATCCACATCATTAAGCAATATGCAAGAAAAAATATAACTAATTTTATTTATTACAAGGCATTTAACATATGAAGGTCCGAAGGTTTCCCCACTCTACTCTCCAAGGCAAATTGATGGAAGCCCAGGAGAAGTGCACCCTGGGAGCAATTCTGCAGAAGAAAACACTCTGATAGTAGGGAATGTTCTTAAAGGGGAAATTGGATAGGGCTATGGCCTGGGCATGTGGATAAGCAACATGTTATAGGAGAGCTCAGGACTGGCTGCATAAAGGTAAAAGTAACACATTCTCTTCACAGAACATTTTGCTGCCTCTCATTCATCTCTATCCTACTTCTAGCATCCAACTTGCATTTTATTAGAAGGAATTTTGCATTTTTTTTTATTCCCAAGCCTCCTCTCTGCATGAAGTATGGGGAGAATGAGAGAAAATAATCTATTTTACTAGCAGAACAAATGGTCATCAAGAGGAGAATAGACAACAAACAACTGTGGGAACTCAGACAACCATAATGTCCATCAGGGATCCTTTAGGCTGCCCCTAGCTGCTTCACAAGAACACTTCTTTAGACCCTTCTATTTCTGCTCTTTCCCTTCAAGAGATTTCTCATGTCCCCCAGTCAACATCTCATCTATTTAGTCTGATGGTGTGGGTTTTAATCGTCTCAAATTTGGATCTCCCAAATCCTTGGTGAGTTGCTTTTACCATACCCCACACCCTACCCTACCTTATACATTTGACCATATGCTATATAAAACCAGTATATTTTTAGCAGTACAATCATCTTCTCCTCTTACAGGGTTTTAAGAAAAAGCAGCAGCTGCCACTGCCTCGCACGCAGGGACCATGATTTAGGTATCCTCTGGGAGTGCCCATTAGATTCAAGCCTCTCAGGGAACAGAGAGACAGTTGACTAGTTTGTTGAAATATACATGGCGTAAGAGTGAGCTGGGTGCTGAGCTGCTCAGCACAGTCAAGGCTAAGGTGTCTGTATGCATGCCTAGGAGCAGGACTTGACATACCTGCTGAAATTTATAAAGGGCCTGCAGAGTTGGGGTGCTGCAGGGTTAAGCAGCATATGAGTGAGGATTTTGCAAATGGATTTAAGTGCTTAAATTTAAAATGTTTTATTTCATTCCCATTTGAAGCACTAAAGTCCTTTTTTGGAATGTAGGCCTTAAATCGTAATCCATCTTTAAATTAAACTATTTGTTTTCAGTGGAAATAAACACTGATATTGCATTCTATGCCACATTCTGACCACAATTAGACTAGCATGAATATTTTTCTAGATTGACAAAGTCAAAAGTACTTTGAACTTCAACAAAACATGCCAAAATCTAATTCAATATTTTTAGCTTTTAAAAGAACAACAATTGCTACTAATTTAGGGAAATGGAAACATAGTATAATTTTCAGCAGTACCAAATTCACAACAATTTCAATGCCGAATAGGCTTGTGTGAATAGGGAAGTATTCAGTTCAGATGCAGCTGATTTGGAGGACAGTGATTCAATTTGGAGATTTGGATCACTGTCTTGAATTGATTTGGCCAAATCAGCTTAGGAAAATTCAGCGCTGATTCAGAGAGATTCAGTGATTCGGATTGGCCAGGGAGAGGCAGGTACAGCCA